AGCGACTGAAGACCATTCTGTCTGAGTACTCTCTTGGGCTCTTTCTTTGTGAGCTCGGGCAAAACCTATTCTACCCGACTCCTCTTTTCCCGCTTATTCAACACTAACATGTGCCATCATAGGTTTTGTTGCCAAATAATCACCCTCCATCGTGGTAGGTTGATCAGGCTCGGCGTAAAACATGGCAGATAAAACATATATCATGTTTACGTGGAAGTTGCTAGGTTCAGGTAAGTCATCCTTCTTGCCCCCAATATGGTTCATGAATTCATCTAACCATGCCTGTGCTTCTGTTGGCAACATCAGCTCGGGCAGCCTTTCCTCCCGAGCTATACCAAAGTTTGGCATTTGTTTTGGAACTTCGCAAAGAGTATAAATCAACAAGGGTGAAGGCATTCTCCTTTCGGGCGAGATAGTTCCAAAACGTATTGGCTTCGAGCTCCATATTGGTGTTGATATCATTACCATATCCTCTTAGGCTCTCCTCAGGATTTTGTATTTCCCAAGATGAGGGCTTTGTGGGACATGATCTTATTCCCCTTCAGTCTTGCTATTTGCCTTTTCTACCTTCTTTTTACTTTTCCAACAAAGTTAATTTCTTCCCCCATGAAGTACTTTCTCAAACTTCACATTTTCAAAGATTTCTGAGGCAGCAGAGACTTTTAGTGAATTCATATGGACTTTGTGCTGCCTCTGGACCCTCCTGATCATAGAGGCTCCCATTTCTTTGACAGATCTTCCATCTTTTCCAACCACATACCATTTCCGGCCAAGTCGGGCAGGATTCTTCTTCGTTACTAGATTCACTATCCTCTCCTTTATTCTGACATCTCCACCGACATAGCTTGGCTAGGGTGGCCTCATATCCACCCATTTTGGTGTTTTAGCTTCTATGTATTCCACTTCTTCAGAGGCCTCATAATCTTGAATACTTCTGATAATCCCTTTGGTTGAGAGTCCTTTCCCAACCTTTGGAAAACATTCCTAGAAGTTTCTTTTTCAGCTGCCCGTATGATGCTTCTGTGGATTTCTTGTTCTTCTTTCTCTTTTCTTCTGATCAACTCCTGATCAATAATAATTCATGATGTTGGCACTTCTAACTCACATTCACACTGGCACTTGCTACACAAAACTAGTCCTTTAACTATGGCTACTTTGGGTTTCTCGGGAAACTTGATAGTTCATTCTTTCGATCTATCAACTTGCCTTTTTCTGCTTTTACTTACCAGGTGGCCTTTCCTTTGCCTTTTTCAGCCCAAGTCAAGTTGATATTGTTTATTGAGGCGTCTAGGAAGGGGTTCGTGTCAATCATCATATTGGCTTGGGGTTTTTCCAACATCAATTTTTCCTTCACTATGAGGTCTTATATCCAATCCCCGAAATGGACACACTTGGTTATGGAGTGATTGAAGGTATAGTGCAGCCTGTAATACTTCTTTCCTCATAGCTCTTCTGGCTTAGGTATCTTCTTGGTACTGTTAGGCACGATCATTCTTACCCGCACTAACTCTTCATAGATCTCAGAGGCGTTGGTTAAATCAAAACAATAACTCTGGTATTTAGGGGGTTTCATAGGGACAAATCCATCATCATTCATCACCACTTTCTGATCCTTGACTGGTTGGACTAACCCTTTCACTATTAAAGGTTTGAAGGGCGTAGTCATCTCTGCTGCACACATGTCCACCCCTTCTCTTCCATGGCCATTACTTTCTTTTGGCTCTGCCTCTTCAAACTCTACTTGGTGAATTGCAGCTTTACTTTTGTAGAAAGGAGACACCTTAAATGAGTGTGTCACTTTTATTCTTCTAGTAACAGCTTCTCATACTTTGTGGCAGCAATCACCAATTCTTGCAACTTATTGAATTGTACATTATAAAACTTTTTTTCTCAAAGGCAATCTCAAAGCCTTCTGAGCAATGGATATAAGTTGGGCATGATTGATAGGGAATTGGCACCTCACTCTTATCCTTCTAAACCTCATCATGAAGTCATCTGTAGACTCATGTTCATATTGCTTCACCTCCACTAAGTCATTAATAGACATCTCGGGCTCCATCCTATAGAACTGCTCATGGAAAGCCATCTCCATTTGCCCCCAGTTAGCAATAGAATTGGGGGGCAACATAGAATACCATTGAGATGCTAGACCAACCAATGAGTTCCCAAACAATCTTAACTTATAATTAGGATTTTCTTCAAATGCCATGCAATGGTTGGAGAACTTGAAAATATGATCTCTAGAGGACACGTTGCCATCTTCCCCACTAAAGTAAGGAATGCGAGCATCTTGAAGTTGAGGGGAAAATGATTCTGCTCATCAATATATTATGGGTATGGCTTCTGGTAGGTGATCCTGAACAACGAACGAGCTTAGGGTTGAGTATTCTGGACCACCATCTTTCTTAACTCAACTAACTCATCTTTGAGCTGCTGGTTAGCTGCATTGTTGTATGGGGTATGTGGGGCTCCCCATTTCGGGCTACGATCATTGCTCGAGAAAGTTTCGTCAGGTTGTCGATCAAGCTATCTCCACTTGGCATCCCCTCTCTTACTAGCCAATGGTGGGGGCCTATAAGGAGGAGGCTTGTCTGCCTTGGTAGGCTCACCTTTTCCACTGGATTCTCCAATTAACTAGGGCATCTCATACTTCTTCCTTTCTTGCCCTCTCTGGCCCCTAGTATCTAGTACACATAATAGAGGGTCAGACAACTCTGTTTCCAAGATCTCCTCCAATACTGGTTGACTAGCTCCAGATCCTTCCTTGTTTTTTCCTTTATCCCTTATTTCCTCAAGCAAAGGAAATAGGGGGATAACTGGTTCTTTCTCAGGGCTTGCTTCCCTCATCATTTCCCTGGCATAACCATTCTTTGGAGTAGAGTACTCCATATCTAATCTTCTTTGCAAACTCCCTATTAAGGAATAGAGCCTACTTACTTCTCCTCTGGTTTCCAGAGTGATATTTTCCATAGTTTTCAATACTTGCATCATAGTGGCTTGCAAATCCTCATTGGTCACCTTTCCTCTTGACTTCTCAAATGAAGTTGGGCTCTCTAGAATAGTTGGTCCTTGCAGGGAAGGAAAACCCTCTGGATGATTTGTCATGCTCGATCTTGGTAGATACTGGGGTGGCCCATATTTTGTGTTCCACCTGAAGGTTTTCTCCTTCCTTCTTTTTCTTGGCATATAAGACTAATAGGATCCCACCAGGCGTGCCAAAACTATGTTCGGGCAAAGATTTCTCTGGAGAAGGCTCCTAGGACCTCAGCACAGCTTCCCAAGCGATTGGCACTTTGGATGTGTGGTCGAGCTCTTACTTGTTGATGTGCTACAAGAAGAGGACAAAGTAAGTTCTGAAAGGTGCCTTTGTGGGGCCTTAGGTGTAGGTCTTAAGGCTCGCAATCAAAACTAACTAAGTGTTAGGCGTGCCACTGCTATCTCAGTATAACAGATGTAGAACAAGTGTGTTTTAAGTCAATTACTTGCACCCCATGTTACTCGGACTTCTTGAACTTCTTGCAGTTACTTTTCCTTGAAATTACAAGGTTTATATGCTAAAAAGTGATGGATGGTAAACAAGTTTACACAAAGGAATCGATACTACATCACTGAGGGAAATAGCAGAGCTTTTACACTAGACAAGAGATAGTTTCTTACTAAAAGATCTGAGATCTGGGCTAATTACAGCTTTTGGATGCAAATCTGGCTTGAGAGCAGAGTTTGGTTGTTTGTTTGTTTGATTGGTTGAGTGTCCTTGTCTCTGGGGCCTCTTCTTCCTTTTATAGACAAATTAGGCCGACTGTTGTAACTTTGCTCTTCCCCGAAAGCACTTGGGGGGTAGTGAGTCATCAGCTTTTTACTTTGAATGCCACTAGAAAGTGTTCTTTGGCTGGTAGTAGGTTAGTCTTCATCACTTGTCAATTTAATTGTAAGCACAGGGCTTGCATCTTCGCTGAGAAGGCTTTAATTTGCCTTTGGACTCGGTGTTGGGCTTCGGGCAAGTCCCCTTTAATTTAGCATCCTTGTGCTTTCCTTTATCTAAGCCCAATGTTCAAATATTAACCCAAACACTTTCACTACCCAGAAACAAGGTTACTGTGTATCCAATTCAAGGCGAATATTCGCGAGACAAGTTGATGCTTCAAAGAATCAGGTCTTACATCGTATGAGCACATTATATAAATAACGAGCAGATAAATCCTTTGCTTATCAGTAGCTATGTTTCTCACAGGCATTACCTAGTTTACTTCATTATTTTGTATGAAATCGTCAATTCCTGAAATTGCTTGAGGTTTACATCTTCACCGACTCAGATATAGCAGTTGTTGATGACCTAGGACACATATTTCGCGAATATCCGAATTTTCATCTGGCGCTGACATTCCATAACAACAATGCACAACCTCTAAATTCAGGATTTATAGCAGTGAGGGGCACTGCTGATGGAATTTTAAGGTGCGTTATCACGTTATCTGTGTACTCAGAGTTATTTTTATGTATTGTTCTTCTGAGTCTCTTGTGTGATATATTCTGGATATACGTGATTCACTTCAAATGTGGTGTGCCTGGTATTAAAGAGTGGGAGAACAAAGAATGATTTTCGACTAAATCAAACTGGTTTAGCTTAGCATATGAATTACATGTCAGAAATTTGATCGGGGGCCTGCTGATTTCGTTTGAAGAGAGAATGGATGCTGATTTCGTGGCATTGAAAACATAAGACATGTAACTGGTATTCGGATTGCTTGTCATGATTATTTAAATGTCGGCATGTCACGTGGGGTTGTAGTACACAATAAAAAACCGATACCTGGATTTCGCCACACAGTTACCTGGTAGCTCAACAAAATGTTCAAATGAACTACATATTTCCGTCCTACTCTGGGATATGATTCTCGTACCGGAATCGATCTTTGAAATTTTATACTTGTGCACCCCAAATTTATGGCAATACTGAATATGGATATAATGTACTTGAAACATACTGGAATCAATGTGAGTGAGAGCGGGGAATAAATCATCGGTTACACCCAAGAGTAGGTTTTGTGAAATTTATTCATAACACATCAATAAGGAACTTATTTTTCTATAAACTGTAACTAGGCATTGTCAATTACAGGACCATTTTGACAAAAACAATTAGAAAATAAAGAAAGAAATAATCTGACATACGGTGTTAGTATCAAGAACTCTACAGTTAGAGCATTTATCCTGCCTGGGCGCCCCTTTAGTTCACTATTCTTGAAATGTCTTCGAACACGGTTTTAATGTCCGGTCTTTCGGATGCTGGAAGAATACATTTTAGAGCTACCTGTAGCATACCATCAAGAACTCTTGGGGAGTTCTTTACGCTCGGCCTTTCCAGAATCAGTCTGTCAAGGCATTCAAAACAACGGTTTTCTTCTGCCAATAGTCTCACCCAGTCTGTCAGATCAACCACACCCGGTATCCCAGAGACAATCTCCCCGGAACTCTTTCCAGTCAGGAGCTCCAACAAGATCACCCCAAATGCATAGACATCACTTTTCAACGATGGGCAGGGTTTACTTGAGCTAGCAAATTCAGGGGGGCGATAGCCAAGAGCACCTGCATTCAAGACTTGCTCAGTAGTCCCAGCGGGAGTCAAAATTCGGTGGAGACTATAATCTGTAAGGAGTGCATTCAGACTAGGAGTTTCTAATAAAATATTCGTGGATTTGAGGTTGCCATGGGGAATTGCCTTCTCATTATGCAGGAAGTTCAGACATCGGGCAACATCTACAGAAATCCTAAGCCGTTCCTCAAGTGACAGGGGAGAGAGTTTTGTTCGCTCTGCCTCTGTAGAGTTGGAAGATTCAGCAACCAATGTCAGATTCAGGGATAAAAAGAGAAACAAATTCGAAAACGGACAAAACAATAAACAAACATCAGTGGCACTCCAGTTTTGCTTTCATTGAAGGGAACTAACCTAACAGTTTATAAACCAAAGTAAAATATCAAAGCGTAAAAGTCACCAATGTCAGCCAAATAAAATCAAAGTACGCTAAGATACACTCTTTTCTCTCTTGACAATTTTCAGTGTGCACTACAGTTTTGCTTTCATTGAAGGGAACTCTAATCTAACAGTTTATAAACCTAAGTAAAATATCAAAGCGTAAAAGTCACCAATGTCAGCCAAATAAAATCTAGGTAGGCTAAGATCTAATCCTCTCTATGGACAATTTTCAGTGTTTTAGTACGTATGGATAGACCCGGTGGCGCATATTTTATATTTTCTAACAGATGGTACAAGTATATTTGAGATGCTTATTTGCAATCGTACAATAAAGCACAAAGAGCGGAATCTTACCATGGAGATGGAATGCCAATGATTGTGCATTGATATAAGTTGATATAATCAGTTTCTCATGTTCTATAGGGCCCCAGTAATAACCCAGCAGAGAAACTAGATTTGGGTGCCTGATGTTTCCTAGTTTCTTCACTTCTCTTGCAAATTCTTTCCTTCCTTTTGCTATTCCCTCCCGTAGCCATTTGACTGCCAATACATGACCGGAGTCGAGCATTGCTTTGTACATTGTCCCATGACAACTCCTTCCAATAGCTTCTGCTGGAGCACAGGAAAGTTCTTCTGCTGTGAAGGCCAAGGAGCCATCAAACAGATGCAAATCACCAGCCAATTTATCCGGAGAATAAGCTGTGAGCACAGCAGGACTCTCTGGTGGCTGTTGCTTTTTAGAGGGTGATGGATTCGATGATGATAAGAGAGACATAGGAGAAGATGTCCCTTCACCCCTTTCTTTTGATTCAGGATGACCCAAATTCTTAGGATTCTTTACAACTGACGAAGTGTCACAGGCATCATGAGCAGACCCCATTTGGGTTGATGGTGAAAGCTTTGGAAGGAGATCACAAGAAGATTTTGAGCAGTCTACATTTTTGTCCGGTGCTGATCGATGACGATGAGAAAGGGCAGAACCTCCTTGCACAGCATCTTTCTTTCCAGAACTTGCTTTTGAACTGCCCTTTCTACATCTCTGCCAGTGGGACCTGTAATGGATCATAAGGCATAAAAGAACTAAAACAGCAACTCCACCAACCAAACCTGCAATGAGGGAGATCCTAATAGCTGCTTTCATAAGGGGCCTGTGTTCCCTAAAAGTCATGTTTGGGACATCCTTCGGTGCAGATGGGGAACGAGGAAAAATCAGCAACGAGTTCCCTGGATAAAATGCAGAATCAGGGAACTGCCGCAAGTTTTCAGGTATGACGCCAGAAAGATGATTGAAAGAAACATTGAACTCTTTCAGGACATCTGGAAGGTCCTCAGGAATGCTACCTTCAAAGTTGTTATTAGATAGATCGAGATACATTAAGCTACGGAACTTAATGATCTCTGGGGGTAAATGACCAGCCAATGAGTTGTTTGACAGATCTATAGACACCAGGCTCAAATTTTGAGCCGAACCACTTGAAGAATCACTTGATATGTCCTGGATGGGTATTGACCCAGACAGATTGTTGCCCGATAAGTTAAGATCAGTCAATTTCGTTGAAGAGAAAAAGCTTGGAAGAAGTAAGCCTTGTAGGTGGTTGAGGCTAAGATCAATCACATTTAATTCTGGGTATGTTCCCAATACTGTCGGAAGTATGCCTTCTAATGAGTTCTTGGATATCTTAAATGAAGTTAGCCTAAAAAATTGAGACGTTTCATTAGGCAGACTTCCGGTCAATGAATTGGAACTTAGCTCGATAACTTCAATGTAATTTCCCCAACCTCGGATTCGAGACAAGTTACCTGTGAGCATATTATTACTCAGATCTATGACAGAACAATGCCCAACCATGGCAGGTAAGGAGCCTGACAGTTTGTTTGAAGAAATATTAAACTTCTTCAGAGTTGCAGAGGTGATGCTTCCTACTGGACCTGCCATGAAGGTAATCAGTGTGATCATGTATGAAGGAAAGGGAGGGAAAAACAGTAAACGAATGCAATTAAAAATTCAAGATGATATAATCACTTTTAAAAACTGGCGACTTCAACCAATAAACATGAAATCACGCAAAAGAAGATTTCCTCGTACTGAAATGGAGCCTTTACCCTAAAGTTGCTTTCTAAAATTAATATGCTTCTCCACCCATGATTCCATCTACATCAACATAGTTTCATGTGAAGATGCTAATGCAACCATGACAACATAGCCGTCTGATTTCTCTTAGTGACAAGACATTAAAGATTAATTTCCTAAAGCAATGGACTTTCTGATAAGTCTGAGAACGTTTACTCAAGCTTATACTGGAAGAATAAATAACTAAATCAAAGCCTTTCTTTCATGGCATCATAAGTGATTTTACTTGTTTATTTTCAATCTACAAGTATGAAAAAAGAAGGTCTAACAAAACTTTCAATTTGAAATATAAAAGGACAAATATGTATGTAAAACCTCTTAGCAACAGCTAACAAGTGTAAAAAACTGTTGAAAACGCAATATACCTTCAAGTTCGTTATGACTAAGATCCAGTTCTGACAAGAGCATTGAGCTCTCTTGCAATAGAGCTTCCGGTAGAGAACCTGATAGCTGGTTGTTTCCAAGCCGAAGTACTCGTAGAGAGACAACAAAATTGAAGGAAGGTATAGGACCCACTAACTGATTATAACTAGCATCAAACACCTCCAAACTATCAAAATATGGCATTCCATCGTGAGGAAAAAGCTGTCCGACCAAGGAATTGTGGCTAACGTTCAAGTACTGAATAGAAGAAACAAAAGAGGAGTTACCAAGTCCCAAATCTAATGAACCAGATAACAGATTGCTGCTTACATCAAGATGGACCACGCTACCCATTTTGGATAGAAAATTCATAATGTCTCCAGAAAAGCCATTAGCTCGAAAATCAATAAACTTCAACTGTTCAAGTTTGCCAAAACTAGAGGGCAAAATGCCTTCAAATTGGTTCAAAGAAAGATTCAAAAGCACTAGACCCTTTAAGTTGACCAAATCGTAGGGTAATAGCCCATGAAACAAATTGCTTGAGAGATCCAAGTATTCAAGAGACTGAAATAAAGCAACCTTTGAGATGGTCCCTGTGAGCCGGTTGTTTGAAAGCGACAAGTTTTGAAGCATTGTAAGGCCAGTAATGGCTGAAAAACTGAAGTCACCGACCAAACCAACATCATTGATAGCAATTGAGATGACGCGACCATTACTACATGTTACCCCAAACCAATTCAAGGGGCAGCCATCAGAGTCCAAGGAGTTAGAATCCCACGAAACAAGAAGTTTCCCTGAAGGGTCCTTGTGAATGCCTTTCCGGAGGTCTAAGAGTGCTCCCAAATCTGACTGCCCTCCTCCTCCCGATGCAGTTACTGCTAGTACCAACAACAATAGCATCAAACTCAAACAGATTGTCTGCATTACTCCTTGAGCAGCCAGCATCCAGCAGCCAAACTTGAGGGAAAGAAAGAGTGATAACGTAATCAAGTTAGCAGGAAACAAAGGAAGATGTTACAAAACAAAGAACCCATCCTGCTAGTTAATTTGCTAGGAATGAATGAATGAATGAAATGAGAGTAAAGTAAATATTGAAAAATGAATGAATGAATGATTCCACAACCACAAAGGGTACCCATGGCCATGATATATAATCAAAGAATGAAGCCAATGCCAATGCCATTATTTGTTTGTCACAAATCCAAAACACATCAAGTCATCAATGTATGTTCAAAATACAACAAAACACAAAATTTGTACTCAACAGTCAGTCGGTGACAGTCATATGAGAAATAAAAAATGCAAAAGAATAATGTAATACTTTTTTCCTTGGTAATGCCAACTCCAAGCACTTAGCAGGCAGCACTAAGTGAGAAGAAGAAGAAGAAGAAGAAACAAACCAAAAAGGGAGAGTGAACGAAATGAAGCTCCAACTCCAGCTCCTTCCCAGCTTCCTCGTGAACTGGGAAATTCAGAATGGATCTGTGCTGCTGTCTAAATCATAAGCATTGGAAATTTGGAAGCAAAAGAGCGAAACCAGAAGCTGCACTGTCCATTCTCTCTCTCTCCAAGAACTCTTCTTCTTCATAGACATCTGCAAGAGTGAGAAAATTCAGAGGAATAAGAGGAAACTAGCAAGGGATGCCCGCAGGATGCTGCGGGATTGAAAACCATAAGAAAACTTAGTATATAGTACTATTTATTTACTAAAGATAATACTTGATGTGTACAGACATACTATTTACATATGAAAGATTTGGTAGATGGACCTAGTTACATACAAAAGAAATAGAACCCAATACATCAGTTGTCAAAGGAATCTATGAAATGATATAAAATCTTCGCACTAGGGTGAACAACTCGAATTGGATTAAGCATTGTTTAATTTGAAGACCATAAACTCAGCAGGGTAAAACTACAAAACTTGTGCTTTCTTAAAACCACTATATTTTGTATTCCAAAAATTTGTAGCAGCCAAACACTATATGAAGCTCCAACCAAAATGAACAAAGAAAATCCTAATAAGAACAATGAGGCTAAATTACAGAACTTGGGTGTTTCTTAAAACCCCAATCCCATGATATTTTAAATTCCAAAATTTTCAGGGTAGCCAAACACTATCAAACTAACATGATAAAGAAATTACTAATAACAACAAATGGGAAAAATAACAGAACATGGGAATTTACATAAACCTACATACTAAAAAGACTCGATGTAGTTTCACAATTTGATTGGTTTATGCATATTACATATGGAATCAATAAGTTTCCTTGTACATATTTGCCTCATTAATCTGCAAAAAGAATCAAACATGGGAAAGTTTACATGTCATTGTATAGACATCTAACATAATCACTTTTCTTGCTCCATGATTGAACTGAAGATTTTCTTTCTTTAACAACAAAGTGAAATCAAATATAACCTGAAAGTTAAACAATGTAATATGGTTTTAAGTCAACTGAACTGAAGTATGTGACACGATCAGTTAAGATGAATATTAACTTGGTTCTCAGATTAAACTGCTGAGTTCTAACTTCTAAAACAAAATATACTATGTCTAATATTAGACAAATAAAAGCAAACACCTCAGAAATAGTGGCAAAGGAAAATGAAGTTCACCTTAAACCCAACCCAAGAACCTCTCGACACACCAAGAACCCCATATCCGAAGCGAAAGACAGATATGGCACTCTTGACATATAGAAAGAAACATGTTTTATGTCTATTATAAAATTTAACAGAAAACAAACACAAATGCCATGACAATTGGCATTTTATAGTAAAGGATATTTAAGTTAGCCCTATTTTGAGCAAAGAGGGCTGAATTGCACTCATCAAACTTTGTATTTTCAGACTTGGGTAGCTGTTCTGATACTGAGGTAGTTTATTGGCCTTGCTAATAAGTTGTATGTTATATTAATTTTTCCTTTTTTTTGCCAAGCTTTGTATTTTCACTGTTTCAAACAAAAAAAAAATATTACATAGTTTTCCAATATCATTAAAACACGTCTCACACTATTTTATGTGCTAATATGCCAATGTACATGTGATAGTGGATTAATGACAAAGAGTCAAAGACATTTAACATGTGTGTGTCTCATAAAAATTTCATTTACCTAGGAATGATGTTTCTCTGGCCCCCAATCATCAATCATATATGAAAGACATTCTAATCAAAATTATCCCAGAAACCATCCTGAATATGCATTTGGTTCCGTGCTAAAATTATACCAAAAGTAAATAAACAGCATTTTACAGGTTATCAACTTAATCATCCAAATGAAAGCAAAAGTAACTAACTGGAGATGTGAACATGCAATGCATTTGTGGGCACATGACTGTGACCCCGGCTACCCACAAAGGAAGCAATAAATTTTTCAACATTGAAGGTGAGATGTTAGACATTAAATGAGTGTACTTTTATCTCTTTTTCTGGAGTCTAAATACCAAAACTAAATATATAGCATTTCCCAGGATTTCAACATAATCATCCAAAAAGAACCAAAGCAAAGGTAATTAACTGGAGATGTGGACGGGAAAATGTTAAAAGCAACCTAAAATCAACATTATGCATATATATAAAACTAAAGTTATACCACATCTTTCAATTGTTATTGAGGCCTCCTCCATTGTGTACCCCATATTGACCAAGGCCCGTATCTTCTCTTTCTCCGATGTAGAATTTATGTAAAATAGGCAATGAAATTTGTATGAGATACACACATCTGTGAAATGTCTTTGACTCTTCGTCACGAATCCACTATCCTGTGTACCTTGGTATAATAGCACATAAAATAGCATGAGACACGTTTTAATGATATTGGAAAACTATGTAATATTTTTGTTGTTTGAAGGATTGGGGAAACAGAGAAAATACAAAGCTTGGCGAAAAAGGAAAAACCAATATAACATACAACTTATTAGCAAGACCAGAGTTGGATGCTGGGATATATAACAGAGTTGGATATCCACTTTGACCCTCTCTTTCTGCAAACAAAAACCAGAGTTGGTTGTTGGGATACATATAGCAAGTAAAAACTAGAGCAGCAAAGATCTCAGCTTTACTCGAAATGAATTATAATTCAAAACCATGAACTAGGTTAAATGCCACAAATCTACCAAAAAGGAACTTCCAATTTCGCTCTGTTCAGTTTAAAATCAGATGGTATTTGTTGACTATGGCAACAATGAATAACCACAACAATCCACGATTCTCACGCGAAAATCCACACCCATCCAACAGTCTACTTGTTCGATGTTGAATGTGGGATATCAGGCAATGAGGGCTTCAAAGGCTACCCCTCTGCCTCTTTCCTTCTGTCTCTTTCCCTCTGTCAATTTTTTGACCACATGGACAACGAATTACAACTTTTACTGTAAACAACACCACAGATAAACCCTAAATATGGCGCATTTTTTCCAAATCCCACCACTCATTAATACATGCAACCCCATTTGCACATAAACAATTAGAACTATGTGGAAAAAGAAAAAAAAAAGAGAGCAAAGAAAAGGCTTATATAAGCTATCTTATGACTAAATGCAGGCTTAAGAAGAAGACGAAGAAGAAACAAACCGACAAGGGAGAGTGAGCGAAATGAAGCTCCAACTCCAGCTCCTTCCAAGCTTCGCCGTGAAATGGGAAACTCAGAATGGATCTGTGCTGCTGGCTATATCATAAGCATTGGAAATTTGGAAGCAAAAGAGCAAAACCAGAAGCTGCACTCTCCGTTCTCTCTACAAGAAACTCTTCTTCTCCACAGTCAAAGGAGTAGGAGGAAATTATTTGCAAGCGTGGAGGAGTAGGTGGACTCACTCACTCGATGCTATCTTGTTATTATTACGAGTTCAAAATCTTCTACACCCAAATTTACCCAAGGCCTCTATCTGTGACCTAATCAGATTTTGACACGTGTCCACACCCAACTTCAACTCTAAAAAGAACGACGATCATGTCACAGCGGAGGAACCGCCTACAGCTCATCTCCTCAATCGAGGAACTCCGCCCCATAATCCAATAAATCGCGTTCTCCGGCGTCGAGGTACCGGGCGAACGGCAGTTCCAGCTTGGCCGCTTCTCCGAAGTTCTACAGAACAGCCTTCAGCTGGCCCGAAAAGTCCTCGCGACGCCGCGCTGGAACTTGTACGAGACCATACAATTCACGCAAAATATGGACTCGTTTGAGAAGACGGTGTCCAGATTTCTTTAACACCAGTTGCAAGCTGCAGGCCCACATCTTGGCTAACGTCCACCACATGAAGGTGGAGGCGGCTCAGCGGTTCGACCGGCTTGATTGGTCGAGCCGGATGCTGAAATAGCGGCTTGGCGCCTTAAATATTGGAAATTGCGGCGGTGGGTGGATGAAAGAGGCTGTGAGGAGGAGGCGCATCAACGACATCTGGGGAGAGAGAGAGAGAGAGAGAGAGTTCCGTGTGATTCTTCGTTGGTTTTTTTTTTTTTCATTATGTTTGGATATGGAAATAACTTGAAATTTTGGTTAAAAGTCAAAATTTATAAATTGACATGCATCAATTTCTTTGTTTGGATTCATAAACATAGAAATTTAGAATTTCCACGTGAAAAAAAAATGGAATTTGGGACCTCCAATTATCAAGTTCAAATTCCATGTAAATAAGTGTCATTTCCCAATTTCTATGATTGAGAGTTTAAAAATAACAAACTCCGTATTTAATTCCATTGTTCTTTTAGGTTAACCAAACAAGAAAATTTACAAATTCTAGAAAATAAAATCTTGTCATTTTAATTTTTGTCATTTTGAAATTCCTTAGTAATCTTAAATTTCTTCATCCAAATATAGTGTTAGAGTTAAAACAGCGTTTAGAATTAAGTTAGTTGTGGACATGTGTCAAAATTTGATTAAGTTACAGATATGCCACAGATGACACACCCCGTCCCGAAGGAGGGCATGCTGGTCGTCACATGAGAGTGACGTAACCATTTACACAGTTCTAAAGCTTTAAAGATACAATTACTAAGATGTAACACCCGAGGGTAAGTCCTACTTTTGTGAATTCTGTCAGAACACCGTGAGAATCCTCGTGAGCTACCAACACTACTAACTAGAACTTGGAGGGGTGCAAAATAAGATTGAGTGGGTCAGTAAAACAAAGTTTTTCGAAAATCATCTCATTATCAAAACGCTAACCCCTCGCTGTAAAACCCGTATACTTTCCCAAAAATATGTAATACGTATACTTATCTCAAAACCATACTCAGAAGTAGTGATATGTGAATTATATGCCATGCCAAAATATATATCTCATCAAATCATATAAGTAACTCATGCAACTTATGTTATTACACAAAAATTGGCACTACAGTTGGTAGCCATTTTCTTAAATTTTTCATATTCAAGAATTGGTCAATCCGACTTAAGGCTACGCATTTTTTTATGGTAGTTGAATTAATCATATCAAATATTCACTTTAGTATGAACCTTTTGGTAGTTTATTTTTCTCTTCATTTGCCTCAACCATCCTTAGTTGCCATGGTTTGGTTCACCTATAAATATAGTTGGTTTTGCCTTCCAAAATCCTGAATGGCTAAAATTACTCCAGTATTAGCATTGAAGTTGTTTTAGTTGTTCAACATCTGAAGACAAAAGAGAAAGTCTCAAAACTATAACTTCATAAAGTTATACAGTAGAACATAACTAACAAAATATACAAAATTAAGAAAACAATTATTTGATGTATTTCATACTATTTTACACCATTTCAAACTAGTTTACATAATTTCACACTAATTTACATATCTTACACTACTTTACAGCAAAAAATCCTATACGCTACATTATCTTACACTATTCTATGACAAACTAGTCACACTGCTACTGCATTTTTTTTCCTAATCTTCCTCGGGTCTTCTTCGTCTACTGGCTCATTGGGTGGTTCTAGCCATGGGTTTTTTATATCTATTGGCGGCCATATGTTTCCATTCTCTCATGTGTTACAACAAAACTTATAAATATCATCATCACGTATTTCACCGTCAACACCATCAACAATTCGTCTTCGCGTCCTAAGGCTATGCTTTTCAATACATTTTTGGGTTCGAAAAGTGTAGTTGCACTTTCCAATTGTTTTTCTTTTAACTATTTCCTTAACAAGATCCTTGGTGCAATCATGAAAAAAGTTTTGATATTTGAAAACATTTGTTGTAGAGATGAAATTCTTGGCACAACCATCACTTATATTTGACTCCATAGTATCTGTCCAGACCAAAATGTTAGACATCTAAAATACAATAATTGTATAATCGAAAGTCAAAACATTAACCCCAATAAATCTTTCTTCTTAATATTAAGACAACTTAAAATTCAATTCCTAATCTAAGGATTGGAAACCTATTGCTCTAATACCAACTTGTCACAGAAGGTGTAATATTTAAAAGGATAACTTAAACTTAACTAATAACAAGTAATACTTTTGAATGAACACATTTTATTAAACAAAGTAATTTACATAGTATTTTACAAGGAAAGAAAGCAACAACATTTTCTCGACTTGTTTTCTACAACAAAAGTCCAAAACTATCTATGTGGAGCTAAAAATAATCAAGAAAAATATGGAGGCGACACGTGGATTCTTGGGTGAAAAAGACAAAATTACCCTTGAGGCACACCGGAACTCTCACACACAAGCAACAAACAATAACAGCTCAATCAGGGTCAAAGGTGATCAAAATAGGTATTTAGTCAAAACTTATTTCATCAATCCTCATCAAATCCTCCCCGTAAGGTAATCCCCATTTATTCTTTTCAAAATAGGATTAAATAACTAATTAATTGATTAATTACCTAATTAATTGACTAATTGCCTAATTAATTGATTACTTGCCTAATTAATTGATTACTTGCCTAGTTAATCACAATTACACCTACATCACCATCACCATTTCTCCCAAAAATCTAATTCCAACTCTCTCGCAAAACTCTCCAAATTTCTCTAAACACTTTTCCCTTAAATTCTAACTTTGGCATCAAAGTTCTTCGGCCAAAGCCCACCCCCCCAATTCATCGTGGGCGCATGAGGCTCTTGGCCTTGTCCTAAGGTGTTAATTGTTTTACATGTGCTTTTTCGTCCAAGAAGAAGAAGTCGGAAATTTGCATCCACAAATTGGTGCTTCCATTGAGAACCTTGATTCACACACTCGTAAAAGACTTTCGCATTCAAGGTTTTTCGTTTTTTTTGTTCATTTGTAGATTTTTAGTACGTTCTTATTCTTGGAATTTTTATTTATAAAAAAATCTTTGATAAAACATACAAGAAAAGTACAATAACTAGAAACTCGGAAACCACGACGAACGGAACTTCTTACTTCAAGGATTTGGACCACAACGATCTAAGAGGCTCAACACGGCAACATGTGGAGTGGCACCACCACAAAGCACCTCGCAGTAGCCATCATCGTGGCAACCTTTGGCAAGTCTCCAGCCCACAGGGAGCAGCAAGTCTAGGCACCAAAAGCAGCCCAAGCTCAGCACACGGCCCAGTGCAATGAGGCCTATATCGCAGCCGTAGCTGCCAAAATAACAGCCCAAGTCACTCGAGCTCAAGGCGCCCCAAGGCCCAGCCATGTTGTTCCAAGCTTCACAGGCCCAAGCCCAGGACGTCCCGAGCCATGCCCAAGCCCAAGGCGTTGCGCAAGCCCAATCTGCGCCAAAAGAAACCCAACACCCATGCACTCTAGTGGCCAGATCTGAGCCCATAACCCGACCCACTCCCGTTGTACAACTCAAAGCCCAGCCCACTTCCATGGCATTCCAAGCTGCCCAAACCGGTCCAAGGCAGGTTCAACTGTCCCGACTCTAAATTTCTAAACCAACGATTGAACCGAGGGCATTTTCACCTTATTTCTCAGCGAATTTGACATTTCGCAACTCAAATCTCATGCCCAGAGTCTACCACACTTCCATTACTCAACAAGACGCATTTTTTCCAAGCTCTTCCAACCCATATGGAGAACAACACTTATCCCGACAAGTCATAGAGTTGACGAGCGCCCTCGCACATCAGACAACCTTGGTGAATCAACTCTTGCAGCACACCGAGATGCCGCGTGCCCCGGACGAGGTGTCCTGAAGTAGGACAAGGGCAGACGAAAAACCTTTCCAGTAGCGTCCCAACAAGGAGCCACTAAACCAGCCACGAACCGACCATTCCAGCGGTGTATATTCCCGATTGGCCCCCAAGATAGTGTATACTCTCATCTTAGCACACAGATGAGCGTGCACTATTGGTTAGGCCCACGGACGAGCATACACTCGTAGTTGGGGTCACACTCCGATAATCAACATGAGCAACCTTCCAGACGAAGTGTTCATTCATGGCTAGGCCTACAAAGAGCATTATCCACCTTACATTGGAGTAGGCAACATGATGGAAGAAGAGAAACAATCACTCAATCCGGCTCAAGTTCAACCAGCAACTTGTGAAGAACTCGCTCACCTACTAGGAATGTACCACATGCACTACAACCGCGATATAAACGAGTCGAACACATGGAATAGCAGCTTAGACCAGCAGGTCACGACTGGGGCAAATGAAAGATCCGCTACCTTAACAAAGGCAAATTCAGGAAGAAGTATAGAGACTTTTGACCTAGCTATTGCGCGATTTCTAATGCAATGAGATCATCGATAAGGCACTACATGACCAACATAAGCAGGTCACCCTTCACTGACGAGATCGAGCAGGCAAAACCTCTAAGGTCGCTTAATCATGAAGAAGTCCGACCACTTGTTCAACGTCAAAAAGAACCTAAATGAGTCATTTCGTAACTATGTGAAGAGGTTCAAAGAAAATAAGGCAAAGATAGTTAGATACAACGACTTGATAGCTATAGTAGCCTTCCAAAAAGAACTTCTAACAGACCACCCGCTGTTCAAAAAATTAATCATGAAAAATGATCCAACTCTGGCAGACTCTTTTCGCTCTGACAGAGAAGTATGCACTTTGGCATGAGGCTCATCTATCCAGATGCGAGGACCTGACATCACCTCCCTACTATCCAAACCGGAAGCAACGGAGGACTTATTCACATGTTTGACGGTATCTGAAGCAGTAATAAGCTCTACCATCATACGAGAAGAGCTGGGGGCCCGACTACCTATATTCCACAGTTCAAAAGCTCTATTCGATGCGGAAACCAGCTACCAGAAATTCAAAAGCTAACTTTGGCGATAGTTGTTGCAACTCGGAAGCTCAAGTTATACCTTTAGACACATGTAGTCATCCTCATGACACACTAGTCTGCTTAATCTAGATGTGCGATGATAAAGGTGTAGACACTAACATATGCAAAGTTTTCTGACGAATGCAACAACTCAGTCCAAAAGGCACGCCAAAGGTAGACGAACACTAGAAAGACATGCTCGGAAGCAAGTTTTGTCCTTGTCGCCCCAAAAGGTTCTACATAGGA